GGGAGATGAGATAAAGGCTATTCATATTTATTGGTTTCATTTCAAATTTTTTCTTCTGCGTGATCGCTTTCTTCTTCTAAAATATTCCTTGACATCTTGTCTTACAAGTGGCTGGAAATATATAGTTTATGCATTCATAGTTTAATTCATTGCTTACGTCAATTTGAAATGTCTGTTAATGATGTCTTATTTTTATCATATCTTTAGTTTGAAACAAATACTCTAATTACTCGTCTTTCGGGCATTTTTGCCTTCACTATTAATTCTAAAGTACTTATCCGTTAAAGAAGGACGTAAAAAATTGTATCCATATTGCGTACCTATATTGTGTACCTGTACCAGTTTTTTTAGGTAACTAATACCACAGAACTTATTACTTATCAACACAATATCAGTAATGCTCATAAAATAATTAATTGAGCAACACTGGTGTCAAAAATAGTATGGGGCTTTTTTACCGCCTTCTTTAGTGGATTAAGTTACAATTTTAGTTTTTCATGTTCTAATAATTAATGCTTTCAAACATGAAGTCTTTTTTCACTTACCAAGCGAGAAATGTTTAATAATACATCATTCATTCATCAAATACAAAATTTTAAAATAATTACAATGTTTCTGAGAAGAAGAAATTACATATACAATTCATTTATGCGTTCTAAGAAATTCCTTCGTCAGATAAATAAAATTACTCAAGTGTCCTGCTGCTCGTCTCAACAAAATTTTCATAATTTTGTAAGTGTGGTTTTATTTAAAAATTGTTTGAATTCTAAACTATTATCGAAATGCTCACAACATTTGCAAAATAAAATTAATTTTATTAAGTAATTAAGCTGCACAAGTTTTTTTTCCAATAAAAATTCAGCTGTAGTTTGATTACAAAACATCTTTACTAGTGTCAAGAATGAAATATGAAACTTAAATTTTTTTTTTCAATAAAATTTTAGGTTTTTTTTTTTTTTTTTTTTTNTTTTTTTTTTTTTTTTTTTTTTTTTTTTTTTTTTTTTTTTTTTTTTTTTTTTTTTTTTTTGGCAAAACATTGTTACAAATGAAACCAATATGAATACATTTTTACTAGTATTACATTTTTGCAAGTAATGTATTGAAATACATTTTTACTTGTAGTGCATTTTTACTAGTAGTATTTTCTGGATACTTTTTTAATTAACACGTTCACGACGGGAAAACTGAAAATACTGGAACGGAAAAAGAGAAAATACTGCTATAAGAACTATTTCAATATTAGATAATATTCGGGAGTGGTTAATCTATTCTCAACAATAACAATTCACTGTAAGGAAATTTATCAAGTCGAAGAAGCAATTCAATATAAAAATTGCATCCGTTAAAAACAATTGGTAGTTATGAATTTTTATTATTTCCGGAAAAAAACTAAAAAATGAAATTTATTGTTACCAGTTTTTACTCCGGTGCGCTGCCAAGATGAGACAATATAGCATGACCCACCGGTGGGTCACCCTGGCGTGAACGTGTTAAAGTTCAGCGCTATTTCATAACAAAACATCAAAGAAAATAAATAGGTCTAAGCAATTACACTAGATAATATTTTTAATAAAAAATCAAACAAAAATCAAGTTTAAATCAATTTTTACAAATGAAATTAATAAGAATAATCGGCTTAATCCTAGTATAAGATACACTTTGGATTTTGCAATTTTTGGGCCCGCGGTTAAGTTTGAAATTTGTAGTTGCAGGTATGGCGAGATTCGGTGAATTATTGCTTTTTAGCCTTTTTGCATTTTGAAATTCGTGGTATAATTTTGCCTTTTGAGCTTGAGATTTCAAATTTGTAACTTTAAAGATGAATTTATAAGTTTTTTTTCAGGTATGTTTATGCATTTGTTATTTTAAATTTACGATTTTCTATGTTTTTGCCTCAGCCAATTCTTGACAACAATCGTAAAAACGTCATTTCGTCAATGGCAGCAGTTCGGCAACAAACGTTATTGCGTCATTTTTCAAAGTCACCAAAGTGTTACGTACACAAGGATTTTACCGAATAATCGATTGTACTAGATACTTTTTTTAATTAAAAAACTATATTTTATTGCAAAACATCTTCCTTTACAAAAGAAAAAGAGTAAAGACTAAACATTATCTCATATCTCAACATATTAACACATTAAACATCATTATACAAATTCTACAATTGCAATTTTTATTCTAGATTCATTCTTACGTAACAAAAAACAAAATACCCATTATTTAAGTTTTACTTTTACTTGAATGATAATGATATACAATGCTTGTTAAAATGCGAATCTTGATGGTACAAGTATAGTTCCTTACAGTATTGAAAAAGTTAAAATCAATTTAGTTATTTTTTAATTACATTTTTTTCACTATGAAAAAACAAATATGAATTTAACATGCAGCAGTGACGAAATCAAAATGCTTTTTACAAACGCAAAATCATTTTCGAAATTTTACTATGAAAAAGAAATTTATCGTAAAATTAATACGTCATACTGTGATTGATATGTCATTTATAAATTAAAAAAATTTTCATCTGCAATTTCATAATCAGTATTGAAAAAAATAAAATAAATAATGATTTTAAAATTTCTTAATAAAAATCACATACAATAAAAAAATATGTGTATAAGTTAAAAAGTTTTGAAAAAGCAATAGCTTTTAATAAATGATTTTGCCTCAAACAAAACATAAAACATTCAAAATATTATTAATATTTTTTTACATAAATCCCATACAGTATAATGGAATGAAGTATAAAGCACATACAATAAAAAATACTTATTTCTGATAAATATTAAACGAAAAAATTTAAACAAATTATAGCTTTTATTACATGATTTATATCAGATAAAATATAAAAACATTGAGAATATACTAATATACAGCTTATAGATAATTTAGAATGTCAGTATATTACTTTGCACACAGTAGTTGTACTTTAATGTCTAAAAACGCTTTCACAATTAATAACAGTGGTTTATTAAGGAAAAAGCAGAAAGGAATTATTGCTTAATTATAAAACTACTTATGACAAAAGTACCGTCATGCTTTACGTAACTTGACTTGAATAATTAATGGTAGTTTGGGTAAGTTAAATGTTTAAATGACTATTCCTATTTGTAAGAAAAAAGCATTTTTTCTTAAGGAAAACAACATTTTGATAAATATTATATATGCCATACATCACAATCAAATTTTTATGAAATTTTTTGAAGAAGAAAAAATAAAAATTAATTACTGATTACATTACTGTGCAATTATCAATTTATTTAAATTTACACTTCAATATAATTAATGTCAAGTGTCCCGATATCATCGAAACAATTTTTATTTTATTTAAAATGGTAGCAAAAGACCGCTATAGACAACATTTATCGCCAAGTAGAATTTATTATTGATAGACATTTTTTGACTAGCTAAATTTGTTTTAACTTCCTGAAAGTATTAAGGAGAGTCGGTAGGTGATATATCAATAAAGAACTTTTTCGCTGCACCTTTTCTAAGAAACTGCTTATGATACCGCTTTAAATTTTTTAGAGGTATTTAAGATTATATTAGTTGTATGCCGCGATAATGTTTTAACGTTACATGAATAGTTTAGAAATACTTTTCGAGTTATGAAAGATTTTTTATGATGATTTTTAAAAAATTTAAAGATCTCAGTTCATATTTTTTTTTTTAATTTCTTCTAAAGATACGTATTAAGAGTTATCACAGTGTAAACATGTTTATGTAAATATACCGTTAAAAAATTTGAAGCTTAATGTAGTCTTTCTCTCTATCAAATATAAAATATATAATTTATTAATTATCTTTATAACTTTGCATAGTGTTGCCTGATATAGTGCTACTCACAAACGGAAAGTGAACAAGGAATATAATATATTTCACACATTTAAATATTTTTAAAGTTAAATACCAACACCCAAGAAATTAGCAAACTGTAAACAGGCATACGAAGTAGTTTTTAAAGTTCAGCTTAGTTTCTTATAAGATGAGAAACGGCTGTTTGACATACATCCTGTTTGACATACGTCAAACATATTCAAATCTTCTCCTGAAAGCAGGAGTGTTTGATTAAGCTTTGAAGCTTTTGATCAATCTTCATATTGGAAATAATCATTTTTGGCTCGTTCGATAAAATAACTTCCAGAACTTCTTCTACTCCTTCAGGTTTTAAAGATGAGAACTCATTTATGTAAGAACACAATCTATCCAGAAATTTCTTTTTGTTACCGCTCTGTATAGCGTTGCGTACATTAGAATAAAGGTCGAATGAATCCAAACTTTCCGAATGCTTCATAGAACTTATTTCATTTAAAACTTTATCCAGCTTCTCAGTTATTTCCAAAGCCTGAACTCTTGCTTCGAACGGCAAGTCTCCGTATTTCCAGTTAGAAACATACTTCACATTTGTGAATTTGCGAACGAGCAAATCCAACAACAGCAGAGCACCACTAACATCAACATGATCAGAAGTCTTGAAATCTTTCCTTTCCATATCTTCATTCAGTTTGAAGGCATTAGTTAAAACCTTAGATTCATTTTCCGTGTTATATTCTGGTGGAGAATCTCGAATAAATTTGCGAAATTCTTCATCCTTAAATTCAAGTTTCGCTCCTTGTGTGTATTTATCAAAATGATTGTATGTATCAAAACCATCAGGATTCGCCTCAAAGTATTTGCTAGAATTTTCATAGAATTGAATTGGATACCATCTTTCTCTATCGCAGCGACCTTCATCTACCAAATAATCAAACATAAACTTCTGTTCATCTGCTAATTCGCATGCTGTTACATCAACCTCTTTGATACTAGTGTCATTCGGCAATTTTTGAAACTCTGTTCTCTCCCATGATACTATGTCCCGAACAATGTCTTCTTTTTTGTTAATGATTGCAATAGCAAGAGGTGTATAACCTTCAGCGGTCTTCTTATAAGTTTTAGCTCCCGCTGCAGCCAGATGGTCAACTGATCTATCAACACCACTCTGAGCTGCTAAATGCAATGGTGTCTGCTGTTGTGCATCTGGCTCATCCACCGAAATCCTTCCCTTAGTTTGCGTCCAACCCACCAAACCATCTACTAGCCTTTCATGCTTAAAGTAGACAGCGAAATGAAGAGGTGTCCATTTTTTGTCAGTGGCGGGAGAATTTAGATTATCCATACCAAAAGCAACGAATCCGCCAACTATATCTTCATATCCATACATTGCTGCATAGTGAATCGGAGCCATGCCGTTTTTATCTTTCGCGTACAAATCGATCCCATTTCTAGCCATCAAGTGGCGCGAATTTTCCCCTGAATTCAAAGAGACAGCTATATGCAAAGCCGTTAGTCCTAAAGAATCTTTAACGTTCACATCTACCTTATTATTTTTGATTAATAGATGCGCAATGTTCGTGCTCAATGAATTATCTGAAACAGCGACATGCAAAGGTGTTTTTCCAGATCTTTCTACCTCGTTAGGTTTGATTTTGTTACTCGACAACAAATGTTCTACGCTTTTTTCGGACTGGAAACGAACTGCCAAATGCAAGGGTGTTACATTATCCTCGTTCGTTTTGGCATTGACGTCCGCGCCCTGGTTTACGAGCTCCTTCACGAAATCTGATCTGTTGTTTTCAATAGCTATGTGCAAAGGAGTGTAACCTTTCGAATCTTTCTGGTTAATGACTTTACGATCGACTTCTAAAATTCGTTTCAGCATATTCACCCTTCCTGTTGCAGCTGCTGCATGAATCACACCTCTTTCGCTTGCAAAAACAGCAGAAACGCTCGCACCAAGACTTAAAAGTTTATTCATATTCTGCATTATACTGTTATCGTTGTAGGATTTCTTAAACGCTAAATCATATAAATCTCTGTCAATGTCTCTGAACTTATTTTTAGAGCCAGATATAATACGAATCATTTCTGGCTTGTTGCCAGTAAACATTCTAAAAACGAGCCTGTTTTTGTCATTAGAATTTTTAATTACTATTTCTGGATTAGCAATATCTAACACATCCTCATGTGTCCATTTGCTTATTCTGGAATATTTGCCATCTTTCTCGTACTGTGTTGCGTAGCTAACTTTTGTTCCTCTCTTCCAATCTAAAAAGTCTGTTTTGCTCAATTTATTTCCCGAATACGTATCAAAAAGAACATCAATTTCTTTCGGTGGCACGTCTTCGATTATTTGCGAACTCATCTTCTCAATATTTTGCTTTACAACTTTCAAGTTATTTGTTTTACTTACAATATCGCTGTACAAATCTTTCTTAGCTTCTTTAATGTTGTGTTTTTGCTGAACTTCCTCCAAAATTTGTATAACTTTATTAAGTAAACCAACGTTTGAGTCTATTAAAGACCGCTTAAACGTTGTAAAATAAAATATAAGGCGTTTCAGATATTCGTTAAACTTTGAAAGATCTTTTTCTTGATAATAATATTCCGAAACATAAGTATACTGATCTAAGAGAGAGAATACTATATTCGTGTATGTAAGAGTGCCGAAATTGAGAGCAGTTAGAGCGTTGTAAGCATTTTGATGGTTAATGTCGTTTGGAATAGCGTGTCTGTTACTGATAATTGAAAATAGAGCTTCGTACAATTTGCCCTCAGATTTAATGTAGTTAAATAAAAGATTATCATTAATCTCTTGCTCAATAAAATTGACATATTCGTCTTTTGGTGCGTTTCTCCGATTATTTTCACTAATTAAAAATGAATTATAAGCTAATTTAATGTCCGAAACTAATTTATTCACGTCTTGACGCTCGATGGAGTCTAGAATGCGTTCGAAGCCTCGGTCCATCGCAACCCTCATCTTTTCAATTTCATTTAAAGTTTTACTGACAGTATCATAAACATTTTTTAGTATTTCAGTTTGCTGATCTAACTTCCGGATTATCACGTTTAAAGTTTTGTTTAGCCTGAGTTCTAATTCTTTAAATGGTACGTCACCGCAATCTCTTTCAATGGACGCGGAACCTAGAACTCCTTTGCCTACTGCCGATCCAAACATGACTCCTGACAACACCAATCCCAACCCGGGCATCGCTACAATGCCCGCTACCCCTGCCGCAACACCGAAAAATCCCGTTATAGCATCGGACCAATTCATGCCTTCTTCTAATTTCTTGCATTCACGGGCTAGCCTCTCCAGATCAGTTTCTCTTCTAAAACGCGCCAACATATTTAAGTCACGGCCAGTGACCATTTTTCCAATATTAGACTTTTTCTCAAATCTTTTCAACATGTTCATGGCAATAGATTTTTCTGCGGTTAATTTTTTTTAACAAGTACAGTGCTGCGACGAAATTCTTATTTTCTATCGGAAGCCGCAATTTCAAGAAAAATGTATACTTACTTTCTTTACCAAATCTAAAAAGGAGTATAAAGATCCTCCTAAAAGGTTCAGTTTTACCCGTTATAATATCCATTATATATATACTTCCCTCAACAGACACTGACAGTTGAAATTTCGCTTCTTCTTTGATAAGTTTCTTAAAACAGCTGTTTAATAAGAAAAATATTTTATGAATGTTAGATTTTATTTAAACAGAAATGACTGACAATCGACATTTTCGCAGCTGTTCGTACGACGCTTCAATTCAATTTCTGACAAAATATCAAATCTGTTGCCTCAACATGGAAAAACATGCATGATAGGATTCATATGAAAACATTTAAGAACATCTGCACAGTGAAGCAGAATATTTATCATTATTCTTGAATATTATTGATAAAAAAAGAACAATGAATTATGTTACGCACTCAAACAGGAATTCCTTTTTGACATCCAGTTAATTTATATCCTCTTGAAGCCACACCTCAAATATATTGAACAGTTTGTATAATTTTATCACTTAAAAAATATTTATGATTTTTTTTTGTATACTTTTATAAAGTGATTGTCTATGCAAAAGTATAATTGATTTTACTCAAAATCTGAGAAGCCTATGCTTAGAGCTCGCTAAATGTAAAAATAGTTTTTTTTTTCTTTTTTTTATTGTTAAGTAGGGATCATTTTCCTCAAAAATTATCTGTTATTAACAAAAGTTGAATGAAATATGAGCTCAAATTTACTATTATATCATTATTTATTTAAATTGTGTGTAATTTAAGAGCATTTTGTTAGTAAACAATTGGTAATTTGGATTAAAGTTTCGTTCATGGGCCCTTGCCAGTTGTGTGCCTACAGATCAAAATACTCTGGTTAAAATTTTCAATTATAAAGAAAAACATTTTTTTTTAAAATCAGGAAATTTGATTCAAGAAAACTTTTGGGCAAATAAAATATCAAATAATGGCAAATAAAATATCTTATTATTTTAATTCAGCCAATTCTGTTTCATGACCAAAACGTGAAGAAACATGAAACATAAAATGAAATTGTCCTAAGACACATTTAAGAAAATGCTAAATATTAAAATTTATTATTTTTTTATGCAAAAGTTAAAAATAATAATAAAATTAATTAATTTTTTAATTAACATTTTTATTGCAATTATGGTTACTTCTTTTTAATCTACATATTTCTAAGTAAAAGTCGCATTTTCAGTTATTATTTAAATCTCAGATTTGAAGAAAATAACAAAAGGGATTTTATATCATTCACTCGTATACTATCGATAGTTGGGTACACTTCAAGAAGAAGACAACCTACATCCACGCATGTGACCCATGACGTTAGCACCAGCTATTCTTTATCAGCAATATGGAGTATTAAAGTTGAGCTAAGTTTCTCTCCATAACTTAAAATATTAATTAACGTTAATTTAATTAAATTTAGAACCGTATAGTACTTCGAATTAGTTGAAATATAATTCATTTTGGTCTTCTTCTTTTACGTGACTTAAATTTATCATTTGTTTACGTGTTTTATTGTAACCGTGATATGTTTTGTGTACCTGGCAACTTCGATGCATAATAAGTTTATTTATGTTCTACGTGGCTTCATGCCTTTATGTAAATATATAGTGGTAGAATTAAAATCTTTGTGAAAGAATCTTTGTAAAAGAATAGTGAATGTGTCACATAAGAGAATTGATACTTGACGGGCTTGGCTTACTCAAAATAGAATGAAAATAACAGTTGCTAACGTAAATAAATGCCAAGTTTCAAGAGCTAATCAGGATCGAGATACGCCTATCTGTCACTTGCAGGTATCCCATTAGAAAAAGTTTCCTGTTTGGTATTAGCTGACCTATGAAAAAAAAATTTTAAAAATTGTCGGCCCTCAACCCTAAAAGAAACGAACCATTTAATTTATTCACTCAGTTTCGGATTGAGTGTAAAAACTGAAGATAAAGTTGATATGAGAAAAATGGGATTTTTAAATATGAAAAAAAATTTCACAATTTCGAATCAAAACAAGATAACGATTTTCCGTACGAAGACATCAAAACTAATTAAACAGTGGGAAACTCTTTAGTCGATGATATAACTCATATTTCACTTTTTATCCCGCGCTCGACGGACAATTCACATTTCTCAACAGAAAATATGTCTCATCTTTTTCCGTAACCCGGTTCACTATACTTCTTCACATAAACCAGGCCTGAATTCCAAAAAAATTCCAAAAATGTCGTCTTCTTTTTTTTGTATAATCTGTCGCGAAGGTTATAAGCAGAGATGCCAACTTGCTCCGGACAGCGAATAAATATTTTCAACTGGTAGTTTATTAATTGTGATTCTTGGTTTAATAAATTAAATTTAGTAGATTTTTATCAACCACTATTTCTAAATAATTCGTAGGCCTATATAATTAACCACTTATTAGTACTTATGTTGTTTTATTAGTACTTATGTTGTTCTGTACCTCTTAGAAAGCAAGCAAAAATAGTCAAATATATGCAAAATTTACTTATGAGTTATTTACCGTTTTTTTTGGTTATTTAGGCGTGTCCGGAGCAGTTGGCATCTCTGGTTATAAGTGACGCGAAAAATTAAAGAAAAAGATGATAAAACTATATAAATTTCATTTGCAAAGTACTAAGAATGTATTTCGTAGACACATTCTACTTGGAACGACATAATAATTATCAATTGGTTACTTGCAAATCGGGAAAAAAATGAGTGATTAGACCCAACCATGACCATGATGAGATTTAAATCCCATGCTTGGGCCTACTCACGTAGTTGTATCAATAGTATATAAGTAATAACATTCCATAGATGACGGTCCGCTCGGCTTAATCAATATTCATTCATCATTTGAAGAAGATGATATTAATTAAGAAAAAAACTCAACAAATTGTTTTAGCTATGAAAAAAGCACAGAAAAGCATAGTTGAAATCATGGGGAAAACCTCTGGCGTAAGATTTATTTAGGCGCAGTGAAATAAAATTCAGAAAACAATCAACACATTGCATGCAGACACTACCTCCTACTTCAGGTAGCCTCCACATCTTTTTTCTATAAGTAGTCTACGCAGACTATTTAAAAAGTGAATCAGTTGTGCGCGTGAATCCAAATTCCTTTTTAAAAGTGATGGAGAGAAATTTATCATATATAATTGAGAATTGAATCTGTAGCGGTTGACAAGTAAATAAGACAAACCAATCATATTCAAAAATTAAAAAAAGAAAATTGACATATATTTTCTACCACGATCTTATTTTTACTAGATTTTCTATTAAATGCTTCTTTCGTAAACTTGTTTAGCTTCAGAGTGGTCTGATCGGACTACCTACAAAAAACCGTGTGGAGGCTTTCAGTTATAGGAGGCACTGATGCAGGCAACTTTTCCAAAAAAATTTATTACAGCTGTTATAGATTAAAATTCAAGAAAGTGGTAGTGGCGGGCTCACCTAGACCGATGGACGGGCGCCATGGTGCCCGCTGCTCTAGACTCTTTAGCATGTCTTAAGATACCGATACCAGTAACAATTTACAAAACTGAAATTACCCTCCCTCTTTGCAGAGAGAGAAAATTCCACGATTTAATTCGTTCTCACTAGCTGAGATCATTACACTACTCTCAATCGTGCCCTTCGCACTCAAACAGAATTAATAAGTAAATTTTTCAATGAGTTCTAGTAATTTACATATAACTTGAAAAGGCTAATCTATATGGTAATGGTGAATAATTTATAAACATGTAAGAATTTATTGTGGATAAAGACTGCTATATATATTACGCAAAATTTAAATTTGAGTCCTGATGATGAGATAACTAGCCTACTTTTAAGAAACTATTATCCATTACGTTTTATGAATGACTATGCAAGGATAATCACAGTCTTCTGCCGATTGATGATTGGACTCACTATGTTTTCTAGAACTTCAATAAAGTAAGGATATTTCTGAGAATCCTTTTCGCTGGAAGTGCCTAAATAATGGAAGAGCTCTTAAGTTGTTCCGGATTTTCGAGAGATTTTAACAATTTTAACCTTGTGGGCTTTATAAATATTTTTTAAAACAAAATTTTATTCATGTTGTCCGCCGTTTAACTGAGGGTCAGATGCAAGCGTTTCTTATTGCGGAGTAAAGTACGGAATAAAAAGTAAGCGTTACTGTCTGAACTTACTTTAACCAATGTTTTTTTTCTTTAACCAATGTTTTTTTTCTTTAACCAAGGTCTTACTGTTAACCAATATTAGATGGTTCATTTTTAAGGAAATAATATGCATAAATATTCCTCTTCACTTTCAAATATAGCATAGAACAGCTGTAATTGTTCTCCATCTTCCACTATTTGTGGCTGGTTCCATCCCTGCCTTGATATTGCTTTTGTTTCATCGCAAAGTTGAAATATATATATATACAGAGATGCCAATTGCTCCGGACACGCCAAAATAATTAAAAAAGCGGTAAACAACTGCAAACTAAAATTTGCAAATATTTGACTAATTTTGCTTGCTTTTTAAAAGGTTTAGTACAACATAACTACTTTAAAATGGTGAATTATCTAAACCAACTAATTATTTAGAAATAGTAATGGATAAAAATCTACTAAATTGAATTTATTAAACCAAGAATCACAATTAATAAACTACCACTATAAAATATTTATTTGCTGTCCGGAGCAAGTTGGTATAGATATATACAGGGTAATTCATAATTCCCTCCGGGATTTCGAAGCGTTATAGTAAAAAAAAAGAAGACGAATATGAAAAAAGGAAACATATGAAATTATTCCAAAACTATTCAAGTTTTGCTTACATACATTACAGGTGTTCTAATTCTTTTTTGCCATATTCGTCTTCGTTTTTTTACTAAATTGAATTATTATTCGCAACTTATTCGTTGTCAGTTTGAAGCCTCTTCAGATCCTGTTGTATACGTATTGTATATTAGTTTTATTTTAATCGTCTGTTGTTCTTTCCTATGCTTGTGTACACTGGGGAGCAACTTGGTGATGAAGAAGCAGCAGCTGTAGGTGAGGCGGGCCTACTGGCCTACTCTGCAGTCGT